AGAGTGAGGAGAGCAGGTGGCCACCCAGAGGGACAAGATGGACCAGTGTCCTCACTGAATTCAGCAATGGTAGGGAGTCTGCATTGCCTTCCTGTCTACATGAAGGCACAAATAACGACTTCATTCACTCCTGAGATGTCACCTGAACTTCACCAGCAGGGGTGTCCAGTAGGGGCCTTTGTCCAGCATGTATATGATTAGCTCTGATCCTGGCCATAGGTGCTGCTGCAGTTCTTAACTTCTCTAATGGGAGGACCAAGGGAGTGACTTCCCTGACACTGAGAAAGGCAGGGAGAAAAGGCAGAGTTTTCCTCAGCCCTGCCCAGTTCAGCCATGTCTGGACAGATTGCAGGCTGGGGAGGCAGTGGAGAGGCACCTGGGGCAGGGGCAGGGACAGTGAGCCTCCTGTGGTTCAGGGGACTGAGCAATCGGAAACAACTGCCTTGCTTCTGTCCCGGAGTTGATGCATTTCCCAGAGAGAGACCAAATTATGAATTCTGGATCAGATCTACAGTTTCCTTCCTTCTGGGCCTTGTTCCCCTCTGAGTCCTGGTTAGAAGGTTTGCTAATGATTCTGATTGTTTTTATGCCAACAGGCTCTCTGGAGAAGTCACCAACAATGGACGTACTGGGACATTCTCCCTTGCTGGTTGGTCAGGGTAACCGTTGCCCTCTTCCTGAGAGGAAAGGAGGAGCCTTTGGCTAGTAAGCTGGGGTCCCGGGCCCTGGTCTTGCTTTGCAGGCACTGGCTGTGTGACCTTGGACAAGTCACTTCTCACGGGAGGATTAGAAGAGAGGAACCACAAGATTCCTTCAGCGTTTAGGATCCCATGCATGCCTTCAGGTGGAGGAAGTGGATGCCCTGCCTTTAGGACCCTCTCATCTGGAGAAGGAGAGATGGCCCAGATGGGTGAATGTTGTCAGGGGCTCTGGAGCTGATGGCCACTGTTCCTCCACAGGACAGTAACAAGGGCAAGGAGACTGGAGGCATGTCATGGGTGTTCAGAGACAGAGAAGGGTGTTGGTGCCTGGAGCTGCCCTGAGCCTCTTCTTAATCTCCCTGTAGCGGTGGTGTCAAGCACAGTCTCTGCTCCTGGTGTGGCTGCATCTGGCTTCAGCTTGGGGGTCAGAGACTTTGGAGAGGAGGCAGTACCCTCTGAGGGTCAGGTGCAGTGTCTGTGTTCAGGACTGCAGGATTGTCTGGGCATGGTGGGAGCCCCAGGGTCCAGATCTCAAGCTGAGGGACTCTGGAGATACTGATTCTGGTATGGGAAATGAAGAGTCCAGTTCTATGAGAGATGAGGGCTCTAGCTCAGGGCCCAGAAATCAATAGGTCTCCCTCACAGAGGCCACAATGGACAGTTTTGTGGCCCGAGCTCTCTGGTAGCCACCCCCTGAGATGTCACAGTGTGTATACCTGCTCTGGTCTCATCTCACCTCCACCTTTTTATTTTCGTAGGCAATTTGGAGATGAATTCCTGTGTCGAAATAAGTTCTTTTCCTTTGCTTCTCCACACATTCAAAGGTTGACCTAGGGAACCCTCTACATGGAGTCTCACTGGGCCTTCGAGGTTTTGACTCCCTGCTCCTCCCACTCTCATGGTGCGTTTTGTCCATACGGTCTCCTGCCATGCAGCAGGAGCCAGGGCCCACCTTCTGGCTCAGTCCTGAAGCATGGACAGGCATGAGCACCGGTCCTGTTACACTCTCAGCTCTGTTCTCCAGCTGACGCTGACATCTGCAGCCACGGTCCACAGCAACTTGTTTTCTGTGATTTTACAAATCCTTATTTGATCCATTTTGTGGCATAAAGACTCTGCCTCCAGTGGGTTCACAGTTCCTGGGAGGCTACCAAAGGGAGGGGACAGAGGCAGATCCACGGGGTGAGCGTTCAGAGGCATGCCCTAGGCTGTTCCCCAAGGAAGCCCCAGTGGGTCAGCTACCTGCGAGATGCAAGCAAGTGCTCTGAGTCCAGGGATGAGGATGCAAACGTGACAGAAGCAGATCTGTCTCAGGGACTGTACCCCAGTCAGAGCTGAGCTTGCAGTAGCATCCTGGGGACCTGGCAGGCCAGAAGGGGCCTGCACAGAGCCCTGGGTGCCTACTATCCTGGGAGAAGATGTTGAATCCGGTTTCCTTTTAAAGGGTTGCCTGCTCCCATCTTCCTCCCACCACATTTTCTAATGAATTTCATGGGAAATTGATTCTGTTTGGAAACTTTGAAAAGATTCACTAATCAGGTGGGCCCTGACTGTTGCTCACGGCTCCCAAATCACCAGCCTGAAACATACACAGACACACACATATATACATGCTCACACATCAGAGTGCTAGATTTCTGCTTCAACCATCAAACACAATTTAGAAAATTGAAGAGAAAATGGAAGCCTATTGTTTTTTATTTATTTATTTATTTATTTTTTTATTACCACGTACTTTACTCTTCCCTGGTGCCCCAGGATGTTGGCATCTATTGATCATCTTTTCTCATTCTGTTTGATACTGTTCCTGTTCTTGGTACGACCAACAATTTTTGACTAAAAGCTGGACATTCTGGGTATTATTATGAGACACTGGGTCTATTATATCACCATTTGACGAGCCACAGGTGCTAGGGAACTGTTCTTAGGGGGAATGATGTCGAGGGACACCTACACATCTTTTTTCTTGCCCCCTGTTGCCCTGAATCCCTTACCTCTCTGATTCTAGGGATAGAGCGGACCAGAGGTGGGGCATGAAACGGGGAGTGCAGGACATGCAGAGGGAGAGGCTGGCTGCTCGTGAGCACTCACACGTTACCCCACAGAGCTGGGGTACACAGCACGGACACTCGCTTTTGGCCCTCGTGGGCTGATCTTCACCTCTGTGACATGCAGTAGTTTATAGTTTTACTGAAACCCAGGTCTGAATCACCCCCGCTTAACACGGGTGCAGCAGAAGGAGCCAGAACAGTGGCATTCTCATCACACCACAGTTTTATTGGTCTTCACACCTGATGTCTTATGGAGAAACTTGAATGGGAATAGAAACTTGTGTTCAGTGAAAAAGAGACTGAAGAGATTGCCAAGTGCCATTGCCTTTAGTGAAATTCAGGGCATCTAAAAAATGAAGGTTATTTTCTTTATTCATGGTAGAGTACATGTGTGCACCCATGAGGTGAGAGAGAGAAAAGAGCTCCCTCAACAGGGTCTGGCCGTGCCACTGTCCCTTTCTCCAGTCCTTCAGTCTGTCAGACCCTGTGCACGTGAATGCTTACCGGTGCTTTTTTTTTTTTTTTTTTTTTTTTCTTACCGGTGCTTTTTCAGTTGACTGGGCTAGGGATTCCAACAGTAGTCCCCACGTGAAATCTGGCTTTTCTTGAGCAGCACAGAAAATGATTATTCTTAACTATAAAATAGCTGTTTTGTTTAATAAAAAGGAGGGATGTTGAATTTGGCAATTGCTTGGTACGATAATATTAGGGGCATGTCAACTCTGTACAGAAATAGAAATGAAGGATTGGCAAGGTATTTACTCAAGCACTCTGGCTACTGAAAATTGTATTTTTTTATGGAGGAAATTATTTGCTGTGGATATATGTAAGATTTGGGATTTAGGCCACATAATTTAGTAATGTCAAGGGTATAGCAAAATTTAATCATTTGCCAACACCCCTAGAATTGTGAGCTAGGTTTCTCTCTTCTTGATGTAAGATCCCCGGCCCTCAGCAGAACCCAGGACAGAGTCAGCCCTCACCCGATGTTTGTTAAGTGAATTTATGAATGACAGAGTGAGTAGAGGGCTGCTAGGCCAATGAATAAGGCCAGTGTAGCTCTTAGACATGGACCAGCCAAGAGAAGCCTCCAGGTTGGGACCTGAGTTTTTTGGAGGAATTTTGTCCTCTGAGACTCACACACACACAAAGGCTCACTAAAGGTTTGCTGATGGAATGGCCTCCTCAACTATCTGAGTCTCAGTTTCCCCGTTTGTGAAACGTGGATCATCACCACTCCTCCCTGGGCAGAGGAAGTGTATTAAGTGGGTTTCTGTGTTCCAGGAGTTTTATTTATTTATTCATTTAGTTAAAAAAATTTAAAGAGACAGTTGTTATAGGGTGCACATGCTCGCCAGAGAGACAGAAAGCGAGAAATCACCCTCAGGGGGGACAGCCATGCCACAATCCTTTCTCCATTCTCCTCTTGGGATCTTGGGCATGCATGCATCACTGGGTCTGGGACACAAACTGTGGTCAGCCACGTGGGAGTCCAGCACCTCAACCACCATGCCGCCTGCTGGCCCCACACTGCTCTGGTGTCGGCCATTGTGAATGGTGGCAATGACCATCGCTTCCAAGTCAAGAGTAGGTGGGGCCGTGGTAGAGGAACAAAGAAGTGAAGAGTGTGCAGGTGAAGGTGAGCAGGCAGCATGTCCGGCACAGAGGGGCAGGGCGTGGGAGGGACAGCAAGGCGCTGGCAGCCCGAGGGCTGGACCTGGGTTCTTAGCGGCTCTTCTCCACTGGACCTGGGAAGCCAGGCTGACGGAGTCTCTTCCTAACCACATAAAAGCAGCTCAGTCAAGGGCACTGAAGCAGCCCATCTGATGCCAGCACAGTCCTGAGATTTCTCACAGATGATACTGTCAATTAAAGGTCTCTCCTTTCACACCTCACACTCCAGCCCCCATCACCCCCAGGAAGGGCAGTTGAGACTGACAAACCTCCCAGCCAAGTTCTTTCTAGAGATAATTTGGTCAGGCTAATTACCTTATGTTAAGTAGATAAGACTCAAATTACATGAGCAAGGCTTGCAAGCTCAGCATTTTGAAGGTTTTCAAGTTATTTACCTGATGTCTCTGATTTTGTTGGGAGAAAATGATTTCTTGCTCCCAGGCAAGCTAAACCCACAAATTAGAGCAGTGGCTCCCTCCTGAGCCCTATAAAGGGGGAGTCCAAGCACTCAGGCTGGTAAACTGCCTCTTAGCTAAGGGTCAGCCTCTGATCCCAGCTCTCTGACTTCCCCAACATGAGTCGCCAGTTCACCTGCAAGTCGGGAGCTGCCAAGGGAGGCTTCAGTGGCTGCTCAGCAGTGCTCTCCGGGGGCAGCTCGTCCTCCTATCGGGCAGGGGGCAAAGGGCTCAGCGGGGGCTTCAGTAGTCGGAGTCTCTACAACCTGGGGGGCACCCGGACCATCTCCTTCAACTTGGCCAGTGGCAGTGGGCGGGCAGGGAGCTATGGGTTTGGCCGGGGCCGGGCCAGTGGCTTTGCTGGCAGCATGTTTGGCAGTGTGGCCCTGGGGCCCACGTCCTTGACCGTGTGCCCACCTGGAGGCATCCACCAGGTCACTGTCAACAAGAGCCTCCTGGCGCCTCTCAATGTGGAGCTGGACCCTGAGATTCAGAAGGTGCGCGCCCAGGAGCGGGAGCAGATCAAGGCGCTGAACAACAAGTTCGCTTCCTTCATCGACAAGGTGGGTCTGCTAGAGATAGCGGAGCATGGAGCGTCTGCTCCCCCACCTTTGCTGCCCTCAGGAGGGCTCCCCCTGGATGCAGAGGAGGGCGGGGCTCCTTCCCAAGCTGCAGACAAAGCCTAGGTCAGAGCAGGGACAATCTGGTCAAAGGCCTGGACATCAGAGTTGAGGGAGGGCAGGTGAGGGGTGGGGGGAGAGCTTAGCCTGGGAAGGAGTCCAGGAGGCAGAGACAGTGGCTTCCAGGAGAGTGACGGCCTATGAGACTTGGAAGTAGGAGAGTGACGGCCTATGAGACTTGGAAGCCAGGTACAGGAGAGGCCTATGACAGCCTGCCATGGGACCCCATTCTTCCTCTCAGGGGATCCCGCCAGCTCAGATTCTGGTCAGTCTGCAGTACACCCAGCCTTTAAGGGGGCGGATAGCAGTCACCGTGCACTCCAGCAGTGGTTCTCAGTGTGGGCCCTGAACCGGCAGCACGAGCCTCACCAGGGCACTTAAAAATACATCTTCTCAGGCCCCTCCCAGACAGGCGGAATGAGCAACTCTGGGTGCTGCCTGGCAATCTGTGTTCTAACAAGAGCTTCCAGCGGTGCTGATGCCCCTCAAGTTGGAGAACCTCTGTCCAGTGGTAGGACGGTCTTGGGAAGTAGAGACTTCTAAGCTTAGGGGAATAGGAAAGTTCATTGGGGTGATGGCGGGGAAGGGTGCTGAAGCCTAAGTAGGAGTTCTTCAGGTAGGAGAGGGAGAAGGCAATCCAGAGAGAAGAGTGCAGCATCATGGATGCATTTGTCCGTGGAGTGGGGAGCTGAGAGAGCGTTGAGTGAACAATGCAGAAGGGGAAGGGGAGCTAGGCACGTGGTAAAGAGCCCAGTAAGGAATTCAGACGTGACCAGATGATGCAGAACCACCAGTGAGTTTTAAGCAATGAAATGATATGACATTTGTAGATGGCAGTTCGAGGATGCTTGTTCTCTCCAAGGAAATGCCCCAGTGGAGAAAACAGAAATTCAGGCATGAAAGCAATGTAGGCAGGCTGGAGGGCCCAGGATAGTTGAGTGCTTGCCCTCTGTCTGGGCTGGGAGACCACAAACAGGGAAATAGTGAGTGGAGCATGGGCCAGGCCGTCCTGAGCAGAGGGGCCTGGGAGTGTGAGGCCAGCCCTGTCCAGCCCCGTCCAACCCCGTCCAGCCCCATTGAGTCCTGTCCAGCCCAGGCCAGCCCCGGCCAGCCTCGATCAGCCCCGGCCAGCTTCCTTGCCTGAAACTCCTTACAGAGGCAGCCTGAGCTGAGCACAGATGCTGGACCAAGCAGGTCTGTAAAAGTGTAGAGGAGATGGGAGGTCTATATCTTGATAGCTGGAGAGGGAAATGAAGGTATCGGGCCCCTGCCGACCTGAGGGGGTACCCCAGAGTGAGAAACTTAGTCAGACGAGGGTGCTTGTGGGGAGGGGCAATGGGCAACATTTTCTTTTATTTATTTTATTTATTTTTTGGAGAGGTTTTCGCTATAGGGCGCATGTGCTCGCCAGAAAGACAGAGAGAGACAGAGAGACAGAAAGTGAGAAATCACCCCCTGGGGGGATGGCCACGCTGCAATCCCTTCTCCTCCATTCTCCTCTTGGGATCTTGGGTACGCACGCACACACACCTGGCGTGAGTTCTAAGCCACTGGGTCCGGGATGTGAATCGTGGTCCACTACATGGGAGTCCAGCAACATAGCCATTACGCTAACTGCTGGCCCCAATGGGCAACATTTTCTAAGGGCTGAGACTCAGTCTTTGAGCTAACACTGCCCCTGTCCAGGAAAGAATACTTTTTTGCTCCCCACTGGTCTGTGGAGTGGGTTTCAGGTGTTGTTTTGGGTTCTAGGTGAGGTTCCTGGAGCAGCAGAACCAGGTGCTGGAGACCAAGTGGGAGCTGCTGCAGCAGCTGGACCTGAACAACTGCAAGAAAAACCTGGAGCCCATCCTCGAGGGCTACATCAGCAACCTGCAATCCCCGAGGCCTACAGCAGCAACCGGCGGAAGCAGCTGGAGACACTGTCTGGGGACAGGGTGAGGCTGGACTCGGAGCTGCGGAGTGTGCGAGACGTGGTGGAGGACTACAAGAAAAAGTGAGTGGAGACGGGACATTTGCCACTGGCCTCAGAGGGACTGAGCTGGGGGAGTGACCCATCTGAGTTCAGCTGCCCAGGCAAGATGAGAGCCTTTTATGGACAACCGTATGGGATAGACAGTGGACAGCCAGTCCTGGGCTGTGTCAGGGCCATCCTAGCAGGCAGTCCCATCTGTATGTCCCTACTATTCCCTACTCAAGAGGGTGTGTGTGTGTGTGTGTGTGTGTGTGTGTGTGTGTATGCATGCACACATGTGTGCACCATAGCCTGTCAGGTCCTCAGCTTGCCCAGTGTACTCCCAGGTCCCAAGAAAACCCCTTAGTAGGACAGGAGTTAGAGTTCTTGTTGGACTCTTCTCCCGTTCAGACATGGGTGCCAACTAGGAAGGGGAAGATCCTACTCACTCTCCAGGTATCAGAGGAAATCCAGATCCTAAACCATCATTCACCAGGACTGGAAGAAGGTGACTTCAAACTCTACCCACAACTCTGGCCAAATAGTCCCAGGGACAGATTTACAAAGATGAGAATAATACCTCTTAAAAGACATGTAATACAGGCATTTCTTTTCTGTGTTCACAATCAATATACATGCATGCGTGGGTGCGTGCATGTGTGTGTGTGTGTATGTGTGTGCACCCTGCTCACTGAGGTGCTTTCTCTGCAGGTATGAAGAGGAAATAAACAAACGCACAACCGCTGAGAATGAATTTGTGGTGCTAAAGAAGGTGAGGAGGGTGCATGGCCCCCCTCATGGGAAGTGGGGTAAGAGCAGAGGAGAGGCTGAGGCTGTGCTCCTGCAGAAGGACCTGGGCTGAAGTGCAGGCGATGGAAGGCTGCTGCTTAGGACTTCTGGGGACATCTTGGTGTTTTCCTAGCACACGGCAATTTGTCAGCTCCCTACTTTGTGTGTAAACAAGCAGAAGCCCAGACATGAATAATCAAACCCCAGCTCATGCCCTCTTTGACTGGAGACCAGGATACCCTTCAGGAGGGGCTGCCTTTGCCGCAACTGCCCTAGGCTCTCTGCCTAATGCATGACTGGCTGTATGAGGGATAGATTCCCATACTCTCTCTTTGAGAAATAGAAGCAGAAGAATTCCAGAGGCACAGGGAACTTGCTCAAAGTCTTGCTGGGACTCCTGACTGGAAGTCAGGTTCCTGCCCTGATCTGGAGCCCATTCCCTGGGGCAGGCAGCACAGAGAATGCTGGGGTGTCAGTTTGTGGGAGAAGTCACTCTGGGCTTGAACGAAGGCCATGCCAGGGTCTCTGGACTCTCCTCAGGATGTGGATGCAGCTTATATGAGCAAGGTGGAGCTGCAGGCTAAGGTGGATGCCCTGGATGGAGAAATCAAGTTCTTCAAATGCCTGTATGAGGGGGTAAGGCACTCCTAGTCCACTTCCGGCTCTCTTTCCTGGAAAGACAGACTTGTGATGAGTAGCTACTTGTTTAGTAACTTTGAGATCCCATGGGACCAGCAGATGGCATAATGGTTATGTTTCTGGACTCCCACTGGTCAACCACAGTTCAAGTCCCAAACCTGGTGGCTTCGAATTCACTCTGGGCACGTGTGTGTGCGTGCCCCAAATCCTGAGAGGAGAATGGAGGACAAGGTCCCTGGATGGTGATTTCTTGTTTTCTGTTTCTCTCTGTCTTTCCAGTGAGTGCACACTCCCCATAGCAAAAATCTGCCCCCCCCCCAAAAAAAATCCCAGGGGACGACCAGTATTTGGGTACTGGGAGCTTTGAAGATCAATGGCAGGAGTGATTATCTATCCTAGTGCCCCATCAGTCCCCGCCTGGGCTCTGGATGTCCGTTCTCACGTTCTTTGGGAAGCCATGGGTCCTTAAGAGGTTCCTGTTGAACTTCAGCCAAGCATTTTCTCATCCCTGCCTGTCTCCTCTCTGCTACCTGGAATGTTTCCTGGGGCCTCATGCAGGAATCCCAGAGATGGAGGTGGAGTGTCCTCACACCCCTTCTGGTTCCTCTATGGACACCTGACTTCAGGCTTCAGCTTACTGTCCAAACAGCTATGGGCTCCCACGTGCTTAGTGCCCCATGTGCTGGCCAGGTTATTTCCCTCCACCTTCCTCACCCCTGTCCTGTCTCAGGTGACAGACATATGGGCTGTTTTCTTCTTAGGCTGCTTTAAACCCCTTCAGCAGTTTGTAGATGTGGTATCCCTCCAGTGATGGTATCCATTCTTATGAGCCTTGGGGAAGGCAGCTTGCATCTGTTTGAGATGATCGGGGACATACTGCTGGGACAGAGAACCGTCCTCTGGTCCCAAAAGACATTTCATTACTTTTGGTTTCCCTGGCAGGAGATTGCTCAGATCCAGTCCCACATCAGTGACACGTCTGTCATCCTGTCCATGGACAACAACCGGAACCTGGACCTGGACAGCATCATTGCTGAGGTCCGCGCCCAGTATGAGGAGATCGCCCTGAAGAGCAAGGCGGAGGCCGAGGCGCTGTACCAGACCAAGGTGAGGCTGCACACTCTCCAGAGTCATATGTGCAGGAATCGCTGGTCCAGCCTCTGCTCTGTCTGTCCTGTGACCCACTGTGGCCCACAGCTTGTTGAGAGCATAGCACCACCGGGCACTGGGGGAGCTCAAAGGGAGAAGCGAGATCCGTCCTTGGGATGGATGGCAGCTGTCAAAAGACGTACAGCTGAGGGCAAATGAGTGTGGTGCAGAGTCCAGGTTAGAGAGCGAGGATCAGACAAAGCAAGGAAGGTCAGCTCAGGAACAGCTTCCTGGAGGCAGAGAGTTTAGAACTGGTGTCGGGGTGGGGGAGGAGATGAAACACGGGTAGCTAGCATCTCAACTCCCTCAATTATAATAAATTAGGGGGTCTCTTCAGTGCAATCTGGGATCAGGTAACTCCTACCTGTTCATTCAAGTCCACCTGCCAGGATAAAGGGGGAGTTTGAGCCCCTTAGATCTTAACTCCGCTAATGATTGTGGGCGGGAAGTGATTCTTCAGATAACTGCGTTTCTCAGATCAAGATGGCAACTTTGTAATTGCTTCTTGCTGTTTATCAAGCTCTTTCTCAGGCTCTTTCTCAAGGGAAATCCACTTTTGAGAGACCTTATCTGTCTTTCACCTTCCTGCCCCCACCCCCCCACCCCTGCTAGCCTAGGACAGAGAGATTTGACCTGCAGGGATGGGAGGAGGGAGGCTTTCAAGGCCTAGGAGACAACACAGATCAGGGCTTCTTGAAAAAGGCTCAAACACCAAAGTCCTCAGCCCCTTTATTCTTCCACATCATATTGCAAGCCAGGACTGGAATGGCCACATGACCTGACCACTCTGGGCTCTCAGTATCCCATCCTTAATCCCCGGAGATACCCCAACCAGCCCTTTTTAGAAAAATTGGGCAGGTCTGCATGACATGAGTTTTGGACCATTGCTGTTTGGGATTATCTGTACCTCCAGTTCTTCTGTTGGGGAAGCACTTACTGAGCAGAATTTCCCTCCTGGAGTCCTAGCAATAGTATTACGAAGGCTTATTTGATTAGATGAAGAAGCGCAGGCTCAGGAAGTTCAAGTAACTTGCCCAGGGCATTTATATGGTAAGTGATGGAACTGGAGCTGAATCTAGGTGACCACCTGCAAATCCCACCATCTTTAGGCGGGACATCAGGAAGTGGCTCTGAGTAGGAAACATTCACTCTGTGCTTTGTGTGGGTTGGGAGCTGACGCTAGGGCCACATGGTAAGCCCCATGAACTGGTGTCCCAGCGACAATGAGAAGAGAACCATACTCAACAGGGGCTCAGGGAAGCCCTCCTGGAGGAAATGACCGTGCACTGGCTAGAAGAGCTACCTAGAGGAAAGGAGAGGATGGATAGGGAAGGGTTTTCCAAGGAGTGGGGAAAGCTCATACAAAGGCTTAGAGACACGAGGGCACACAGGACATTTGGGGGAACCAGGAGACTGCCATAGCTGGGGAGCCAGGTCAGTATTGGGCAATGAGGGTGAGGAATCAGCACCTTAATGCAATGCTAGGAGTTAGAGTTTGACCTTGACTTGGAAGGGCCGTAGACAGAGTGTCATAAGCGGGGTTGTGTTAGCAAGGTCTGGCATGGGGGCACTGGAGCTTCAGCAGCCCGATGGCTGAATGTGATGACCAGTGAGAGCAGCTGTGTGTAAGGCCAGCAGTTCCAACACGTGGCTGAGAGGGAGGCTTTGATAAGTCTACTGAGGCTCCCCAAGCAGAGGCATTGTCTGTGCCAGGCCTTGAGCCAGTCCCTGCTTTGGCCTCTCTCCCTCTAGTTCCAGGAGCTCCAGCTGGCAGCTGGCCGACATGGAGATGACCTCAAACACACCAAGAATGAGATCTCGGAGCTGACCCGTCTCATCCAAAGACTGCGCTCGGAGATTGAGAGTGTGAAGAAGCAGGTGAAGGGGTTGGGGTTCCTGACTCCCTCTCAAAGGAGAGATGAACTGCTTAGCACATCCTTTGCCCCCTTTCCTGGTGCTCCATTGCAGAACCTCCCTAGATGGGGTACCCTACTGCCATCCCTTCACTTAGTGCCCATTTGAAGTCTGGAACAATTGCAGGTCTTTTCATAAAGCTGTGGGGCTCAGAATAACAAGCCTTCTAGCCCCAGGCAGGCAGGACTCCACTGCCATGGATGTGGTGGGTCTCTGTGCTAGGAAATGGGCCAAGACAGAGGAGTGTCCACCCACCCTTAGAAGATGAGGGGTAAAGTACCTCAGAGTTCAGGGGGAAATGCTGCCTCTTATCCTTCAGTGCTCCAACCTGGAGACGGCCATTGCTGATGCTGAGCAGCGGGGGGACTGTGCCCTCAAGGATGCCCGAGCCAAGCTGGACGAGCTGGAGGGTGCCCTGCACCAGGCCAAGGAGGAGCTGGCCCGGATGCTACGCGAGTACCAGGAGCTTCTGAGCGTGAAGCTGTCCCTGGACATTGAGATCGCCACCTACCGCAAGCTGCTGGAGGGCGAGGAGTGCAGGTGCGGGGGCGGAGGGGCTGGAAGAACCTTCAACATCCTCTAACTCGGAGTTTCCCAGAACATGGGGGGCAGGCAACTGGAGAGACTGAAGATGCTTTGGATGCTTTGTAGCCACCCCCCATCCCCTAAGCCTAGCCTGAAATGGCACACACTAAGATAATAGGACAGCAATTCCCTTTATAGTTCTCTCTTTTTTTTTCTTTTTGTTTTTATTTATTTTTAAAATTTAATCACTACACATCCCCACAGCGTACAAAATGAATCATCCCAGCATGAATACATTGCATATCAGTACAGTCAGAGACATTACCATATGCATTACCATCAACACATAATTTTCTATTTTTGTGTTCATTAACTGTTTTGCCTTTTTTCCTCCTTTATGTCCACCTTCCTGCTCCCCATTGTTCGCCCTCCTCTCGCATGATTTCTGGTATCCACAGTTGTTCTCTATGCTTTTTTACCTTATAATCTTTCAGGTTTTTTTTTTTTTTTTTCTATAGAGAATGTGCCCTTGCCAGAGAGAAACAGAGACAGGGAAAGTGAGAAATCGCTCCCCAGGGGACGTGGCCACACTGCAATCCCATCCCTAGTCTCCTCTCAGGATTTTGGGGATGCACCCACAGGTGCCTGGTATGATTTTTTTTTTTTTTTAATTTTTAAAATATTTTAAAAATTTCATTTTCTTTTATACATTCAATCACATTACTTAGCTTACAAAGTGAATATTCCAACTTGTGAACATTTCTCCCTTGTCTAGTTGATAAAACCGTAAAATTATCTTCAACAGACAATACTACATTCCTTTGTCCCATTAATGCTTCGCCCCTCTATTTTCCTTTGACTGCCCTTGCTCAGGCTCTACTCTTTCACACACGCTAGATCTCCATTGGCTCTTTGGAGAAAGCCTCACCTTGGTACCGCTGTCACTGCCTCTCAGGCACTTGCAATAGCTCCTGTTAATAAAGAGACAGTAGCTCTCAGGTCAGCCTCTGGACAGACAATACCTAGTTGAAAATACTTAATCACTTTATTTTCATTGTATTAATTTTTACTGCTACCTTTATTTTTCATATAGGATTAGATAACATTGGTTTTTCTCTTTACACTGGGGATAGCAAGCTTTCTTGGAAGAGAAATGCACTTGTGTTATGAAAGGCAGAGTCAATGAAACAAACTAAGCATACGGCAGTGTAAGGTGCATATAGTTTCAGCAGCAATTACAAGAGTGGGACATGAAGCACTGACATCTGAAACACTAATTTTAGAGTAGAGAAGAGAAGTTACTGATCCTAAAGCCATGTAGTTAGGCTGGTAACTCCTTGACCGGTAACTTCTGATTCTATTATTTCCACACACGTATTTATCCAGGCAGCGGCTTCATAGGAATAAAGAACTGGGTTCAGGAAAAACCCAGCAGGAGGGCCCCGGGCAGGAGGTGATGGTGCTGCCCCCGCTCCCCGGGCTTCCACATCTCTGAAGTAGAAAGTGGAGGTTGAAGGGGGGTGGGGAGTGCTTGGAGGCACAAAGGTGCAGTTACTGGCATCTGGCCAGTGGCAGGTGCTCGTGGAAGCTGAGATAGTCTCGCTGATGAGTTCTGGGCCAGAATCCAGGCAGTGGTCACCCTGGGATTCCCCGAGACAGAGGCTTACCTGTGTCTTTCTCTGTGTAGGATGTCTGGAGAGTACACCAACTCTGTGAGCATCTGTAAGTATTTCATGTCTGAGAATTATTTTAGTCCATCAGCAAACACAAAGTGAGTAGGTACCTACCACCGAGACCCCTGTGAATATCCAGGTTCTGCCTTGTAGCCCACCCTCGTCATACGTGCCTCCCTTGCTGAGACCTGACCCCTCTCCATTTATAGCTGCTTTGTCCCCCACTGCAGCAGAGTCAGCTCCCCATCATTTTGGCATTGCATGTTGGCCTCTTCCTCAGAAATTCCACCTAGGCAGGCATAAAACTCTCAACTCCACCCTGCTCCCCCGATGCGTCCACTCTGGCTTTCCTTCGTGAAGGAAGCCAGGGCACAAATGTTGTACGGCCTCACTGAGAGTAGAGGCCTATTCTCAGACATGCTGTGCAAGTCATTTTGCTTACTGGCCTCACAGAGCACAGCCCAGTCCCCCTCTTAGAGAGAGAACAGCTAAAACTCCCCTGAATCAAGCTCTCAGGAAACTCTGAAGACAATGTGAGAATGTAATCTGAAGTTAAATGCAAGAACTCGTTGGCTTATCTAATGCTTCGGCATTATCTGCCATTTGGGAAAAAAATTTTTGCTGCTGCTGTTGATTCAGAGAATTTTAAGAAGGTGCCTGATTTGGGGTCCTATAGAATCTAGGCTTATTTTCGTGGTGTTTGAGCTGCTTAGGAATGGAGCATGTGTAACTAAACCCAAGTTCATGTTCTAACATGGTATTTGCTTAAGAGGGAGACATTTAAGCTAGTTTGGGCTGGAGGCAGAGGGGGCAAACTTAGTGCCCCCTGTCCTGGAACACACACTGACCACTCCCTCCCTTTTCCTCCACAGCGGTTATCAGCAGCTCCACAGCCGGGACTGCAGGTGCAGGCACTGGCTTTGGGTTCGGCAATGCCAGCACCTATGGCTACCGATCCAGCTCTGTTGGCGGGGGCCATGGCCTGTTGTCCGGGGGCTGTGTCACGGGCAGTGGGAACTGCAGCCCCCGTGGAGAGGCCAGGACCAGGCTGGGGAGTGCAAGTGAATTCAAGGAACCCCCAGGGAAGACCTCAGCTCTGACTCCACCTGCTAAGAAAACCACAAGATGAAGTGAAAGCCCATTTCTTGGTAGTCTGCTCTGCCCCGGTTTTCTCCGGACTCCCTTCTCTAGAAAACAACTCTGCCATCAGCACCTCTTACTTGCCTTTCTTTGCCATCAATGTCTTCTTCTCAGCCTCACTGCTTTAGTCTTTCTTAATGCAGAATCAGGATTCTAGGACTGCAGTCACCTTGCTTTTCCCTCTGTATCTTCACAGAGGAATCTCCCAGCTCAGCCTCCCCTCCTGATGAAGACCAGCCGCTTCCTCTGCCCATACGTCCCCTTGCAGAGGAAACATCACCCTCCAGGATAATCCCCATTCTCCTGCTGTCTCTCCCATGCCCTGGCTTAGGCTGTTTTATCTGGCCATGTGCTGTCTGGGTGCATGAGGTTTCAGGGCTAATGACAGACCAGCCAGAACTGCTTCCTGTTAGAGCAGTGCCAGCTCGCAGTTACCTGGCTGTGGGTGGGGCTTTGCACAGCCACTGTGCACTCTGTAGCCAGAGAACAGCTTGGGCTTTCTTGTCACCCAGGAGATCTGTGCTGTCCATCTATGAGCTCTTGTTCCTCTTCAGGCCTGACCTTGCTGCTTCCCACACCTCATAATAAATTAATGAAACATGTGCAGGGCCAGGCTGCTTCTCTCTCCTAAGGGAATCCCCATCTCAGGCCATGTCTCTTCTACATGTAGAGTAGTCAGTGACCAGGAAGCAGGAGCATCTGCGGTTTGGTCTGCCCCATAGAGTCCCAAAGTATACTTTCATCTGAGTGAAAGAGACCCTACACAGACTGGGAGACCCCAGCCTCATCTCCACTGGACTGTTTTTTCGTTTGTTTCTTTATATCTTTGGAGAGAGAGAAAGAGAAACACTTCTTCAACAGGGTCTCCTACCATGATCCTCTACCACCTTCTCACTAGCCAGGGTCACAGGCACACGTGTGCAAGGCTGGCAGGTACGGGTCTATACAAGAGCCAAACCCTGATCTCCTATTTCCAGCATAGAAGAGGAGGGTGCTACCACTGTGTTGCCATGGCTGGGCCTGACTGGACTTTCAATACCCGGGGGTCATCCCTCCCACTAACCCCAGCATTTATGTCTTCTGAGTCATGCTGTTCTCAGGCCAATGTCCAGCGAATGGCCAAGCAGGCTATCAGCACTGAGAGGCCAACTCTTGTTTGGCAGCAAGATTTAAAACTGGTCTTGAGGCAGCAAAAGGCCGTCCCAGAAAACCTGGGGTTCAGGTTTGGCTTTCTCCAGTTCCCTGGGAAAGGGCCCAGAGAGAGATTCCTCTTAAAAGTAATGACCCATGTTCTCTTGGTCTTTAGTGGTTTCCACTGGGTTGTGTATGGCTGTGTATGTATGTGTATCCAGGCTGAGTTTGGGTATGTATGAAGGTGCGTGCCTGTGTGTATGTTCGTGTGTGTACCTAGGTATGTGGTATGAGGCCATCTCCATTACACATATCACTTTGTTTCCAAAACACTTTTATACTCTGAGATTTTCCTAGGTCCCCAGACTGTAATGATGCTGTCAGAATGCACCAGCATGCAAAAGGCAAGTGCCCATGCAGCTTGGGGCTCACGGTGGCATCTGAACAGTCTCTGTGGGTCCAGAGAGAGAGACCTAGACTTGGAATCAGTAGCTCTGAATTCAGATTCAGACCCTGTGACTAACTGGTGATCATGAGCAAAGCTCCCACCCCTTCTGAGCCTCCTCTCTTTAGCTACAAAGCAGGCAGCACCATGTCTCGGACTGCTGTTGAACTAAAATGAGACAGCATGGGGCTCTCTGCTATTCCAGGCACAGAGTCAAGGCTGAATAAATGTTAGTGGAAACAGAAGCTCGTTCTTAACCTTTTGTGCTAAAAATCTGACTTAATTAGTTCACTGAAAGAGATGTTTGGTTGCTGCTAAAGCAATTCACAAAATCCAAACTTTAAAGAGACCATCTTATAAACTATACCATACCTTTATTTATTGTCCAAAGGAGAACTGTCTGACAGAATAACTAGTCTCTGGAATACACTTTGGGGGCCAGGGAAAGATCAGTTCAATGAACGTGTGTTAGGTATCTATCATGTGCTTGGTCTGCATTAGTGCTAGGGACATAGTGGTGAAGACACTGGGGCCAGGCCCCTAGTGGAGACACAACCATAGAAACATAACTGCAGGTCCAGCCAGTGGAGAGGTGGTTAGGTGGAGCCGTTTAAGTCCCAGATGCAGAGACTTGAAGGAAATGCTGGGCACAAGTGTGTGCACGCCCACAAGTCCAGAGAGAATGGAGGAGAAGGGTGGCTGCGTGGCCATCGCCCCTGGGGATGCATTTTCTCTTTCCCGGCAGGAGCACACGTACCCTATAGTAAACCAAACCAAAACAAAACAAAAACATGACTGCAGCTTGGTGAGCATCTGCAACAAAGAAGATACAGAGAGGCACAGAGGACAACATAAAACTTCCTGGAGGACAGGGAAGGCTTGTGGAGGAGAAAAATATGTATTCCAGAGGTGTTCACTAGGAACTGGGCTTCCTATCCAGAGGCACTGGTCTGGTGAAAATAGGCTGCTGTTGCTCAGGTGTGGAGTGTATGGAAGAAGGAGGCTGGAGTTGGCGGGGCAGGCAGCAGCCAGCCAGAAAAGCCTTCTCCTGCCTGCTAAGAGCTGGGGGTTTATCCTGCATATCTTGAAGGAGAGGTGAATGTCTTGGGTGTCAGATGGACATAGGCCTGAGCCCTCTGCCACTTACTGTGTGACAGGCAAGACATTTCTATCCCACGAACCTCAGTTTCCTCATCCAAAAAAATAAAGTTAGTAATAGTTACCTTATAGAGTTGTTGATGAGAGCTGTCATGATTCCCCCCCCCAAACTTGCTTGAGGGCTCATGCACTTGTTGGAGAGTGACAGAGAGAGAGAGACAGACAGACGGAAGGAAAGTAAGAACACATCCACCATGGGACATAGTTATGTCACAATCTTTTTTCCTCTGTTTTTCCTTTCAAGATTTTGGGCACACATGCACATGCCCCTGGTGTGTTTCTCAAGCTGCTGGGGCTGGGACTTGAACTGCACAGTTGGCCATGTGAGGTCTAACTGCCTTAGCCACCATGCCACTGGCTGGACTTTTAAAGGGGGGGATCCAATTTTTTTAATCCTATTTTTTTGCTTTACTTTATTTCTCTTTCTTATACTTTAAAGGCTAACTAGTGCTTGCAGCTTCTATAACTAATGTAATCTGTAGCCATTGTAATAAATAACGTCATAAATAAGCCTGTTTGCTTAAAAGAGGAAACTTAAATTGCTTGCTTTGGACAATGGTCACAAGAATGCAACAGGACTGAGGTCCCTGGCAAGAAATTTTAAGAGATGAGAATGTTTGCTCAAGGGATGCAATGTAAAAGATTAAATTGGGAGGGCTGTAATAATGTTATCTTTTACCATAATACTCACAGATGTTTGTTTTGTTAAACAGTATAGCTTAAAGAAAATATGTTGTAGCTTCCTTGAAATCCGTCAATGTATGTCACAAGGCTGGTTAATAGATTCAGCTTCACCATAAGAACAAAAAGAGGGTCATAAAAGTCATGTGAAAGGAAAAGGTGCACTGGACAATTTTGGGAAAATTCCAGGGGTAGAAGTAGTTCTGAAGAACTAGCTAGCTTACTGTTATAGATAACAATGGGCAAATGTGAAGTGTAACGGTATAGAACATACTGGAGGTTTCTGTTTGGGGAGTTGGTTGTGAGCTTGTTTGCTCTGGGCCACACCCTGTGCTCCAGCACAGCTAAATAAACTCCATAACTCCATTTCTCTCTCTTTACTTTGTCTCTCGATTATTCACATAAGCAGCTGGATTTTAGCTGACAATAGCCTCCACATTAAATTAAATCCAGTTATGCCTAGCACATAGTAAGTACTCCATTAATGATTGCTTTTAGTACTAGGTATACAGTATTCTTAAAAAGATTTTTTTTTTCTTTTTGCCATAGGCCTTTATGCTCACTGGAGAAAGCAAAGTGATTTTTCAGGGGGGTTGGCCATGCCCCAATCCCTTCTCCTTCATTGTCTTTCTGGGAATTTTGGGTACACATACGCATGTGTCTGGTGTGATTTTCAAGCTGCAGGTCCAGGACTCAGACCATGGTCAACCATGTGAGAGTCCAGTTCCTTAACCACCATGCCACCTACAGCCTCTACCTTATTCTTTCAAGAGGCTTAAGTGAGAAGGGAAGTGGAGAAGGTCCTATAGCGATCAGATAATTGATTGACGAACATGAATTTAGGATAAAGAACACTGGCTATTATGAGACTTTTCAGCCATCCAACTTCTAGGTGTGGGCAGTTAACACGACAGGGATTTCTTTCTCACTCACAGTCTACAGCAGGTTAGGGCAGCTGTTCTCCCAAGAGGCAGCTCAGGAACCTAGGCTCTTCTGCCTTCTAGCTCTGCTGTATGGGGCACAAAGCCTCCCAGGTCACTGTTACTGGAGAGAAGAGAGATGGAGGGGCACATGAGCTACTAAGTGCCTTAACCCGGAGGTGACACATTTCATTATCGCACCACTAATCATATAGCCCCAACCCCCAGCTGAACCAGGGGAGACTAGAAAAGAGGAGGAGAGTGAAGTTATCTGCTGAGCTCTGACAGTCTCTGGCACAACCTTTCTCAGTCTAGAGACCCACTGCTGGTCACCAGACAGATCTCTTTCTCCCTCAGCCAGGGCTGGGATGATGCTACACATGCCAGTCCATGCAAACAACTCCCTTTGGTTTTGGCAGTATAGCCCTAGGCATATTATCATGAACTAGGTCAGGTTACATAGCACATTTAGGTTTCCTTTACGGTTTTTATTTTATGAAATATTGATGTATGCTTGGGAAATTCAAGTCTATTTAATGGTGAAGTATAGCTACCTCATTCACTGTTTCTTGAAGTATATTTTTTCCCTCTCAGTTTTTAAATTTATTTTATGAGCAAGAGAGACAGAGAGAAAGAGAGAGAGAATTTCCAACA